CTGCGGGGTGAGGCACCGCGGGGATCTGAGCGAGACTTCGCCGTCCCTGGGGGGCTGCGATCTGCGACGGGTGCTGGTGGGTCCTGCGGAGTGAGGCACCGCGGGGATCTGAGCGAGAATCTGCGACGCTCGCCACTTGAGGCACCGGGGATCTGAGCGAGACCTCCCTGGGGGGCTGCGATCTGCGACGCTGTCGCCACTTTCGAGGGCTGCTGGTGGGTCCTGGGAGTGAGGCACCGCGGGGATCTGAGCGGGACCTCGCCGTCCCTGGGGGGCTGCGATCTGCGACGCTGTCGCCACTTTCGAGGGCTGCTGGTGGGTCCTGCGGGTGAGGCACCGCGGGGATCTGAGCGAGACCTCGCCGTCCCTGGGGGGCTGCGATCTGCGACACTGTCGCCACTTTCGAGGGCTGCTGGTGGGTCCTGCGGGTGAGGCACCGCGGGGATCTGAGCGAGACCTCGCCGTCCCTGGGGGGCTGCGATCTGCGACGCTGTCGCCACTTTCGAGGGCTGCTGGTGGGTCCTGCGGAGTGAGGCACCGCGGGGATCTGAGCGAGACCTCGCCGTCCCTGGGGGGCTGCGATCTGCGACGCAACTTTCGAGGGCTGCTGGTGGGTCCTGCGGGTGAGGCACGCGCTGGGGATCTGCGAGTCGAGACCTGAGGCGCGCGGGGATCTGAGCGAGACCTCGCCGGGGGGCTGCGATCTGCGACGCTGTCGCCGCTTTCGAGGGCTGCTGGTGGGTCCTGCGGGGTGAGGCACCGCGGGGATCTGAGCGAAGCCTCGCCGTCCCTGGGGGGCTGCGATCTGCGACGCTGCCGCCGCTTTCGAGGGCTGCTGGTGGGTTCTGCGGAGTGAGGCACCGCGGGGATCTGAGCGAGACCTCGCCGTCCCTGGGGGGCTGCGATCTGCGACGCTGTCGCCACTTTCGAGGGCTGCTGGTGGGTCCTGCGGGGCGAAGCACCGCGGGGATCTGAGCAAGACCTCGCCGTCCCTAGGGGGCTCTGGAGAGCTGCTGCGGGATGCGTTAGGCGCAACGGGCGCATGACACAGCCAACGGGGGTGATTTGTGAAACAGACCATCTGCCGGGCGATGGCCATAACGTTGCGCCTACACGTATCCCGCGGGGGCTCTCAAGATCAGCTGTGGGATACGTTGGGTGCAACGGGCGCACGGCACAGCCAACGGGGGTGATTTGTGATTACGTAGTCCTTAGATCTTGATCAGGGGCCTGCGAGCCTTCCAATTGCTGCTCGCAAAATCACATGCGTCCATGTTACGTCACCCCCCCCCGGTGTAGCAATCCTGATGTACTTCTGCCCTGCGTTGCGCAAGGGTTGGGTACGTCGCCAGGGTAATGTTCTCGGCCGCCGAGGGCGTAACCTATGGTGCAACTGATAGGAGACGGTTTTATTCTCGGCGGCCGAGGGCGCAATCAATGGCGCAACCGATAGGACATGTTTTTTTTCTCGGCCGCCAAGGGCGCAACCTATGGCGCAACTGATAGGATGCGGTTTTATTCTCGGCGGCCGAGGGCGCAACCTATGGCGCAATTGATGGGAGACGTTTTCATTCTCGGCAGGCAAGGGCGCAACCTATGGCGCAACTGATAGGAGACGGTTTTATTCTCTTGCACAGGGTGTCTAGAGCTCCGACCACTTTATTTCGGCACCGCCCCCCCCCCCCTTTCATCATCATCATCATCATCATCATCATCATCATCATCATCATCATCATCATCATCATCATCATCACAATCATCTTCACCATCATCACCATCATAATCACCATCATCATCATCATCATCATCCACATCATCATCATCATCATGCACCCCCTCCGTCTCAGCGCCCTCCCGCGGCTCCAGCGCCCGCCCAGTGCCCCCTCCGCCCCGACCACTTTATTTCGGCACCGCACCCCCCCCCGCTCCGCCTCCTCCCCCGCGCCGTCCCAGCGCCCCCCCGCGGCTCCAGCGCCCGCCCAGTGCCCCCTCCGCCTCGACCACTTTATTTCGGCACCGCACCCCCCCCCGCTCCGCCCCCTCCCCCGCGCCGTCTCAGCGCCCCCCCGCGGCTCCAGCGCCCGCCCAGTGCCTCCTCCGCCCCGACCACTTTATTTCGGCACCGCACCCCCCCTCCCCGCTCCGCCCCCTCCCCCGCGCCGTCTCAGCGCCCCCGCGCGGCTCCAGCGCCCGCCCAGTGCCCCCTCCGCCACGACCACTTTATTTCGGCACCGCACCCCCCCCCCGCTCCGCCCCCTCCCCCGCGCCGTCTCATCGCCCCTGCGCGGCCCCATCGGCCCGCCCAG